ATATATATGATATTTCTAGAGAGATATTAGAGAGAAAAATAATATCCTTTGATAAGAGAAATATCTAATTAAATCGTATATAATAGATAATTAAAATTTCGAATCTTCATTTCATTCACAAAGGATTCGCATCATTCAGATTTGAATTATTATTTAAAGGCACTGCCTCCTTTCCTTTTTTATAGTATATTTATAAAAAAAATTCAAATCTAATTTATCAAGCGTTCACAAACCACTTGCGAAAATGTAAAGTGACTTGTAATAATAAGTTGATCTACCTTATACCGTTATATTATTTCGTCGAGATAAGCATAGACACCGGTCTATAGATTGTTTATAACACCCCCAATTCCCAGTCGGGCTGCTGGAAATGAAAGTAAACGCAGACGGGTCGTCTCCAAGAGTGGCTATTTACACGACGACGTTACGAATCGGCACGGTGAAAATCGTCGTTTAACTCGGGACCTAAGTAAACCCACCCTCGTTCCGTGAGTCATTGCCAACGTCACTCAACACACCCGGGGACAAACACACCCTTAGCCGTCGAATTTATTGGCCGGTGCAACAGTAGTATCGCCGTCATAAACAAACCGTATTAACAAGCCGGACATTAACAGCCCTCGGTAAATGTTTCAAAGATACGGATCTCCGTTAGTCATTCACTCGTTAAGTGACCATGCGTTGCGTTGATTTCCTTAATTGCGATGTGCCTTCCACGGCGAGAGAATTGTCGCGCGGCCGAGCCATCTTGTCGGTGATTCGCGTGTCGCCCGAACGTTCACCGTGTCGCCATCCTTTGCCTAATTAGGCCGTTTGTCGCGTACAGTTGCAGATGAGAGGGTAATTTGGTTAAGCTGTTTGTTGGCCTGTTTGATGGCCTTGGTAGAATTTATGCGCGGCGGTGAGGGTGGATTGGTCACTTGGCTGGAATGTTGGAATAATAATAGTGATTAATTAGGGATCTGTCTGCATCTTAGAACTGTTCTGATTAATGAGGATTTGACGCGAAATTAGGATAAACGAGAATACGTGGATTATGAAGGATTTTTTTTTAACTAGTCAAAAATATGCTTGTTAATCGTGGAAATTCATCCATCGTAATTTCCTCGTAATTTCGTTCGATTTTAGTATTTAAATTAAACTTAAATAAGAATTTTCGATAATCACGAAATGAAAAATTAATCGATTTTTTTAAAATATTTATACTTAAATATAAAAATAGAATAATTTGAACGTAGAAGAATTTTAACGTATAACAATTAGAAAATCCATAAATAAATTGATCATTTAAATAATTAGATAATTATTTTTTCAGGTTAAAAAATTGAACGAGGGATTAATAATTAAAAATCGTCATTTATAATATTCGTCATCTATAATATTTAAAATTTTCACGTAGTCATACACGTGTAAACTCGTAATTGTTTACATACGGAAGAAAGAAACGAGTGATATACTGTTCTACGAATGTCAACACATTCGACACATCGTCGAATTCACGGAAATAGACGCTCGTACTCCATTATTTACCGGAGCGTCGAGAAACGAGGACGATTTACGAGCAGATTTGCCGAAAGGTTGAAGCGATCAGTTCACTAACGCTCGTCTCAGTGATCGGTGACGATTAATTACGCCTAAGAAAACTAATTTACGGAGGCAGAAATGGTATCCGGCGACACCCTCGCTGTTTGTCGAGAACGAACATTTTCCATACGGCGTAGAAAAAACCTTGAATATTCTTCGAATCCCTTCCGAGCTGTCTAACATTAGATTGTATCGAGGTATGCACGCGTTTCTTATTTTCTCTTGAATATATGTGTTCTAAATTTAATTATCACAATTATCGTTATTGGAAAAACAGGTTTATTTCTTAGTTTACTTTTATTATCTTAATTATCAACGTCGAACAATAGGAAATTTATTTGTTTCTTTAATCCAATTTTTGGTTTAATTTAAAAAAATCTTAATTATTCTGTATCTTATTCCAAATTCCTTTCTCGATTATCTTATCTATTAAAATATCAAAGAATCTTTATTTTAGGGACATTCTAAGAAAGTTTCAACGTTTGATAGTTATTAATTATACTTACTCGATTATATGTTATTAAAATTTTGTTTAATTTTTATGTTAAACTTATTAATATCATATTCTACATTTCAGCTTCAAACTTATTAATTAATAAGAAATATATGAATGAATTTCGTTAGAATCGTTTTCAATTTAACAAATTTGATATCATTTAATTGTAGATATAATTTAAAAAAAGATAGTGTGCAACAATTGCAAGATTAATTGTTCTTTTATTTCACTTAATTATTTTGATAATTTCCAATTTAAAAATAAACGAGAATATGTTTAGAATATCAATATGTTTAGATATTAAAGTGTTTATCACGAAAGTTTCATGTAGGTGATAATGCTCGATTAAACGAATTTTCTTCATATTTATGAAAGATCAGTGGCACTCGTATATGGACCTTGATGAGAAGAAAATTCAATTTACAGCCTCGTATCTTAATAAACCGAGCTGGTAATTTATACAACGATAGATTATCGTCGCGGTAACGATTAATCTCCCCTGAAATGAATGTGAGAGACGATCCCAACGTTGGGACGACCCTTGACACCGCGATAAGGGATGATCGTGTGGTTACGTTCGTACGCATAAATTGCCTACACGCGCAAATATAATGAGCCTCGCGATAACGTTTAATCGGACTTGGAGTTGCTGCCTTTCACGTCTCTATCTTGTTTTTGAGAGCACCCATGCGATGAAGTGCATAATATGATAAAGAAACGAACGAAATGATTGTAAAAATTCAACTGGATGGTTATTTAATTTTATATATTTTGACAGGATCGTTTAATTAATTTACATTACACTTGATTCTCATTTTTTCCAGATATTTTTATTCTTTGTGTATAACTGTATATATATTCCAGTTTGTCCAATTTAGGATAGGATCACGAAATTAATTAATCATCCTTGGAACTCGAAATCCAATCGAAAAACCAAATATTCTAAAAACATTTCTCTTCAAAAATCGAACCCTTAATTTTATCACTTTGATCTCGCGTAAAAATTCCAAATTTGGAATATTTGGAAAACCAAATATTCTTGAACACATTTCCCTTCAAATTTCTCTTCAAAACTCGAATCTATCATCAGATTTATCGCATTAATCCCCCGTATAAGGGGAGAATTTCCAATTTGTGGCTTCGCCACGATCCCAGATTATGTTCCTTGAAACTGGAACTTCAAAACCGGAAATCGTTTTATCGTCCAATAAAACGGATCGTTCCGTAAACGGTTCACCCTAAAATCGTTCCAGAGACGGATTTATCCACGCGGGGATGTCGTCGACTATGCGCTGCATTCGTGAGCGCATCACATCGAGCAGGACCGCGTATAATACGCGGGAGGAGAGGGATTTTCGAAGGCCCTCGACTCCATTCAAATTCGATTCCCTTGTACCGTTAATCCATCTTTGCGATGACAACAGCTGCGTGCACAACGTTGTGCACGCAGCTGATCATTAATTATTTGCGACCACGGATTAACGAGCGCGATTCGATTAACTCCTGTCTCTGTTACTCTAGATTCGTATTCACTTGTTCCTTGAGATGAAACCAGGGAGTGGATGTTCACGGAAGATGAAGAGGGTTTTAGAGAGTGTCGGAATAAGTATCGAGTAGGTGAGGATTTTAGATAGGATGGGATCGATTATTTGATTTTGTGGAGGGGAATAAAAAGGGAATTGTTAATATGAGAGAGATTAGAGTCTTAGTGTTCACTTGTTGAAGCGAAAGGATAATATCATTGAGGTATTTAAAATTCTTTGAAGCATAGAATAATTCATTTTTATTCGTCCTATCAAAAGATATACAAATATATCCTTCAAATCGACAGTGCTAAGAATTAATGTGTATCATTCTAAAATATCATTCTAAACTAACTCAACAATTTACGAGATATTTAATGCGATCGATTCTTATTATTTTAATGCGTAACAGTTTCGAATAGTATAGTAATAATTGATTAATTAAAGTGAATTAAAACTATTAGGAAATATTTTAACGTGTTAGAAGGACCGGAAAGAAATCCATTATTTTTTACATGTATAATTCATAACTTTTAAATTTTGTTTTGTAAAAGAGTGGATTTGAAAAATGGATCATCAGATAGAAGATTGTTTTAAAAAAAAGAAGAAATCATGTCCTTAATTAACATTTATAGAAAATTTATCGTTTTGAAAATAAAAAAATAATCTTTTTCTTTCCAATATCTACCAATTCTGTTTAAACCATTTTATTCCACGATATAAAAAAATCCTCGTATCAAATTTCTTGGACATGGAAATAAATTCCACGCATTCGAACGGATCGGCAAACAAATCTTTCTGCCGTCCGCGTAACATATTTTCCTCGTTTCGCGCTCCACATTCAACCCTTGGTAACGGGGCTATCGACGCTCAATTAAAGATCACCCCACGCGCTTGTATAACGTCGGGGGGCGACGAAACGAGGCGGTCTCCCGGATAATAGCGACCTCGTAAAGCCGTGGCCGCTGTTGAAACAATATTTTCACAAGGGCGGCTGTCCATGGATCGTAACCTCGCGATATCTCGCGCTGTTTTTCCACGAGGCTCGTTCCTCGGGATGAGTCTGTAGGTCATTGACGTTCTTGGATCGATTCGTGGAAATAGTGTCGTGACCATGGATGTCGTATGGCGATGTTAAAACTGTACAAAATTGACGAGAGGGGAATCTGTTCTTTCCAAGAATGTCAGATCGGAAACGAAGGTGATTCTTGTTGGAGATAGATCGATTTTTTCTCTCTTCGAGATCAGTTAAGAATATTGGAAGCCGCGCAAACGTACAAGAATAAAAGAAATTCATTTTAGCTACTACAAAATTCCCAATCCCTTACCGTATCTCCTAATCTAAATGTTTAAAGAAAATATTCTCTGTATTTCGTCGCGTCTCAAATGTAGAGTCAAAAATAGAAGCGCACAGAGGCTGAAAATACATGTGTTATTCCAATCGTCCAATTAATAATTCGAATGCAGATCATCCTCAATCCCCAAGGTTATCAATTACTCATCCTCCGTTTCACACCAGCGCGTTATCCAAACAAAAAAATTCCTCCTTGGCGGCGATACTTCTGTCATTTGTCTCGGCCTCCTCCGTCAACTTTTTTTTTATCCCTCCTCCGAACCCGACTTTTTCTCCCCAGAGAGGAGCTCGATCTTTCGTACGAGGATGTCGACGGTTAAACGACCGGAGCACTTTGCTCGCGACGCTTTTCGCGGATCGTTCGGCCGGCCTCGTGCTGGTTTTTACTTATCCGCGAGAACGAGGGCAGCTCGACGGGGTTCCAAGGGCGGCCGAGGAGGATCGTGAATCGTTTGACTGTCACCACGAGGAAGCATGCGTGTCGCGACGTCACTCGTGTAACGGAAGACAGTTTCGTGTTCCCACAAGTGTGTGTGTGTGCACAGCTTTTCCCCTCTTCGAGCGTGTTATCGGCGAAACAAGATGCTGCTTATCGTCGCGTTCTTCTCTCTGACTGAAGCACACCTTCCGTTACACCGTGGCGCGAGATAAAAAAAGGGAAAAGGGACGAGTTAAGGGACGACGTAAATCTCGCTGCCTTTTAGTTTTTCGTCACGATTTTTACACGGATGCCGCGTTTGTCCGGAATTTTAATCTGGGGAGGGGGAAAGTGCGAGAGATGCTGAAGAGGAAGTTGGAATATTAGGAAAATATTACAGATCTTAACTAACTTATGTTATCTTCTTTATTGATTTTAATCTTGGAATACGTTAACAATTTTGAACAGTTTCTCTTTTCAATATATAATCGGCAATCAGTTTTAGTTTTCGATTTATTCGTAAAAAACTTTTCGTGCTATATAATTAAATTTTAATTGTGTTTAGTGTGGTAGTATATACATATAGTATTCAATATTAGTATCTGAAATCGATACTTTGCGAATATTTAGTTTTGTAATTTAAAATTGTTAGGGAAAGTGTAATATAATATTCTCTTTAGTCACCTAATCGCCCTAAAACCCACGAAATCATCATATAATCTTCGAACTTCTCATCCTTCCTTCTCCCCCCAATCCCCTTTTCTGTCTTTTGCAAATTTCTAAATTTCTCTTCGCGATAAACGAAATTATTTATAACCGGAATTATTCCGTAAATCAATCATCCATCATTTAAATCAATCATCCATCATGGAAAAAATTCGTATAGTTCGTTTATGGGAAATCGTATTGTCGCGTAAAATTTACACGGTGGTGAGTGACGCTAAACGGAAACATAAGTTGCCGTGTATTTACGACGGCCACACACGTAGCTCCAATCTTAGCAATATCCACGAGGTTTCTTTTTCCTCTCCGTTCCCCTTTCATTCAACGAATCTGCACGCTCATTTTCGAATTATTCTCGTTCGAGTCCATCGTTTCGACTTTCGTCCAAATAATCAGGAATAATACGTTCGAGGCACAAGGTTTGCGTGGTTGGACAGGGCAAGGATCGATCGTACAACCCCTTGCTCGAGGGTCCATTAGGACACACGAGTGATAAGTGGAGTGTATAGGGTACCGATGTCTTCCTGTTCTTTGTGTAACTCGGCTTGGACCAGGTGATTCACGGGAATGGGGTGGAAAAGAGACGTGGACAGTCTATGACGATGACATTTGGTCGTTATTGCCAGTGTGTATGCGTTTTGTGGAAGATGAGGGTTCTATTCTGTGACTGTTGGCCGAGAATACTGTTGTATTGGCCTTTTGGAAATTTTCGTTGCCTTTGTATCGTTATATCGCGTGTGCCGAGCGTATTTAGTCTTTTAATGAAAATCTTTTGATGTTTTAGAAAAACGAAATTGTATGAATTTTTTCTTTTTTTTTTTTTATCGAACACGTTATATATTGTGTAGGGTTCGTATTTCTACGCTTTGTTTTATTTATTTTATGCGCCTTTGAAATTATTTGCAAGAAGAGAAACTTTCATACATGGACACGGGGTTTTTTTCAATTCGGTTTTCAATTTAATGCATAGAATTTTAATTGGATATTTCGTTATAAAGAATGGAATTAAGATGTGTTAATAGTCATCTAATTTTTTAATCTTTCAAATCTTTTTTAAACAAAATGTATGTTAAATAATAGAGTGTTTTCAGTTTATTCATAAATATCGTGAAATAGAAAATAGATTTTGATTTCAGATTTTCCTTGTATAGTTCCACATTGCAATATTTCAAATATTGTGAAAGAAATGAAATATTTATTTGTTTCGCATATTTCACGTATTATATAGATGTTTATTATATTATTTTAGGTGTTCTTTTCCTTTGATCTCTCATGAAGTTATTTTTACTAGAGATTTCACGTTGTGAAATATCGCTAGAAATATCACACTCGTGTTCATATATATTGTACTTTTATCTAAGGTACGAATAAGTTCCTCGAAGCTATAAAATTATCCAACAAATCTTACCGAATGTGTAACGAATTCGTGTTGTATTCTTACCCGATGCATAATCTCTCTATGAAACGGAGTAAAAAATGTTTTATTAATGGTAGCGCAATATCCTGTGAAAAAGTTTACTTTTGTTTGCATCAATAAAAAAAAAAGAAAAAGAAAAAGAAAAATATTCTTCGTTTCAATCACCGACAAGATCTAACAAGATCCTTCCGGTAATTTTGATTGATACAATGTTGAGTCTATTTTTACTTTTTAATCATTTCGATCATTATCGAACAAAACTTTTAAACTAGGTTTAATTAATTTGGAAACCTATCAATAATTCATTAATTTCTTTCCACGATAATTTTCACAATATTAAAAACGTTTAAGTTAAGAATGAAATGGATAAGCGAGTAATTTTTTTTAAAACATAGAAAGAACGAATATCGATTTCGTTTAATTGATTCAATTACTGTAAATTGAATTAATTTTATTCCCAACTTCGAGGGAAATGTTGAAAATATTTCGAAGATTCATGAAGCGGTCAAGAATCTGAAGATTTTTCCAGACTTTCGAGCGTTTCGAGACATTCGAGCTCGTTAACCCAATTAAATCTATTAAGATTCCTCGAAGAGATTTACGAGCTTTACGATCCGAAACGTTCAATGTGGCAAATTTTACACGTAACATTGAATCGTGTTTAAACGTATATGTATAAAGTGACGATGATATATATTGTATCATTGTAAATATTGGTGTAAATATTCGTTGGATGTTGCGGTCTAACGAGCTCAAGTCGATTGTTGAAACGTTCGAACGAGTTAAATTATGGGCGAGAAGATATCGGGAGGAACAAGGGTTAAACATTTTTACGAAAGACAGGTATGAAGTCTGGTAACGAGACGGAAAATGAGAATAATCGTCTATAGCTGGGAGAGAGATAGGGAAAGAAAACCGTATTTCTTACCGGGATGTCGTAATATGCTTCGTGAACGAGGATATATATGCAGGGTGGAGCAGTTAAATGGATAGTAAATCTTTGTTATTTATGAGTGGTTGAAAAAAGCATTTGCAATGTTTGGGGGTACGATGACGCTAGATTTGTTCGAGAAATCATTCGGTTGAACATTTATAAAAAGATGAATTAAATGTTACGAACGAATAATCTATTTTTCTTATGTTTTCTTGTGTTTTATTGAAAATTTTGGAATTTATAAACAATATCCAACAAAAGAACAAGCTTATAATGCGCATGCACAATAAAATGAAATATATTACGTTATTAATATTTGCTATTAATTGTTGTTTATTTATTTCCATCATTGATCTGTATGACATTTAAAAGATTCAAATTTTTAATCAAGATATATAATCACTTTATAAGTATTAGTTGCAAATTATTATTTAAAAGGAAGGAATTGATATTTTAATATTTTAAAAGGAAAAAATTTTAAACGGGAAGATAGTCTCAGGATATAAAAAAATTTATTCTCTTTGAATATCTTTTTTTTTTTCTTTGGAGATAGCGAACGTTTTTTTAATCCTACGAATATTTTCGCGAGAAATTCTCGAATACAGAAGCAAAAGCTTGGAAACGTGTGCTTCGAAGCTCAGGTCAAGGGTATGGTTCCCATAAAGCTGTCACTTCTTTCCTGGCACTTAGTTACGCCGGTTCTTTAGGATTTTTTTTTTTTTCTTTCTTTCTTTTTTTTAGAAACACTACTACAGTGGGAAAATCTCGAGTCACAAATCATACAATTTTTTTCCTTCTGGTACAGCAGCTAGGGCAAAGAAAAATGAATTCAACGATGCTTAACGATTTACTGTTGCGGTCACCGACTTTCAATATATTTCAATGATGTCGCGCTTGGAATTCTTGTCTATTTTAAAATAGACTTGCTTAATTCTTGTTCGATCTAACTATACACAGTTTCTCATTTTACTCTGTCCACTTTTATTACACTAAGCACAAAATTTTATCGTACATTACCAAGGTATCTTCGAATTGTACAAGTAGTACCAA